TGTGGGTCGGTAGCGCCATGTGGCAGCAGGTCCGGTGGGCTGACCGGTGGTTCCGGCACATGACCCCGCTCGTGTATGGTTGAAGGTTGCCACGGAGTTGGAATGTTTGAGCTGTTCTCAGACAGTTTGTTTGGCCCTGCCAGAGAGGGACGTTGAGGACCCAGGGGTGGCCAAACTGAGTGGCTGGCTGCAGCTGGCTTGCTGCTGCCCCAAAATTGGGGTTTTGCTTGCCCCTTTTGTCCTCTGCAACTCGTCTGTGCTACCAAATGTAGTATACTTCCACCGTTCCTGGTTCCTGTGAAGGTTTGGTCCTGATTTTACTCGCTAAGCCAGGAGAGACCTATTTTGCTGTTTCTCTGAGCTAGTCTTCTGATGTGTTACCAAGTTCAAGTGGCTCATGGAGGAGTCCAGCATCCCAGTCAGTGCTGGCGTAAGCACATGGTGAGTACTGGGAACGTGGCCTTTAGAGTGAGGATGGGTGGGAGAGGGGAGGGGGGGGGTGTCACCCAGCTACCTGCCTTTGGCCTTTCGGTAGCAGCGAGCCGAGACGTGGGTGGACACCTGGGTGTCACTTACGCACAGCACACGTGCAACTGTGTCCGACAACACATAAGGGTTAAGCGTGTGTTTGCCGGAGGGGAACAATAAACTTGATTTCTGATATTATCCAGCCCTTGAGATGATCCAGCCTTGGGAGTTTGTGCCAAGGGCCTTCTTGAGCCTGCATGGGGTGGTTTTGCTGGTGCTGAGTCCCTGCTGAGCTTGCGAAGCCCAGCGGAACATTGCTGTTTGGATTCAAGCTTGTTTAGATTCAAAATGTTCACAACAATTCTTAAAGCTAGGAGGAGCTTGGCTTGTGGGAGGGTCTTGGGTCGTTAATCCTCCTTTCTCCCCCTGGCTGAATTCAAGTCCTCTCCATCAAAAGCCAAATTTTAAAGCCTGGGGCAGAATGGTCCCAGTTAGAGCCATTCCCTTGTCAGCTCTTGGTTCCAGAAATGTGTATTGGGTCATTTTTTTCAGCTTGTCTTGCACCTTCTGGAAACATGTCTACTGTCTGTGCTTGTTGAGAGCTTATAAAATGTTTTGTTGCTGTTAGCAAAGATGATCGCCTATAAAATGAAGTCATATGTGAAATATTAAACGCTAAGGCTGGAGGCTTTCAGGCACGCTGTAATTGCCTTGTAAACTTAGATGACTGATTGTAAAGGGTCTTATCACTGCCGTTCAGCTACTTATTTCTTGGAAGGAACGTGTCCTTCTTGGTAAGGGATGATTTGGTTTTCTTCCCTGTCAAGTCAGGAGCCAGGCTCTTAATTAAAACAGAATTATAGCCTGAAGTATTTCTTAGAAACCAGGGGAACATATTTGGCTGAGTGTTAGCAGATCTCAATTTTTATAGGAGTTTCTCACTTCGAGGGAGTTGCTAACAGTCCAACTGTAGCTTTCTTGATGTTCACGGATATTTGCTGAATTTGGAGGGGGGTGGACTGGTTGAATCATGCTTATCCCCCACTTACAGTTTAATTGAAAGTAGGTCTTGATGGGATGTTAACTTAGGGGCATTAAAGCAGGGCATAGTCCAAAAATAGCTTCTGAAAAGAGGCCTTACACCGTACATAACTGGAGATTTAAGGCCTGACTTGACATATAATGTTGCTAATCCTTTGTACTCTGTCAACAGGTAGAAATGCTTTCTAATTGTCTCAGTGATAGTTAGAAAGGATTATTTTATGGAATTAGCCTTTTCAATTACCTTTTTTTATTCTATCAATGTAGAAATAAAGATAAGCGCGTATCCTTTTGCCTTGATAACAGGTTGTTTATTAAAAAAGAATTATTTGCAACAGCCTTCGAAAGGACATACCAGTTCGCATCTACATTTCTTTCCTTAGTAGGGCAAGCGCGTGCATACCTGTACATGCAGATGTGTATGTCACTATCTCTGTCACTAGAGAAGTTGCCCACTGGAGAAGATGGCACAGTTCACATCTTGGAAAAAAAGAATTATAGTGTCCAGATAATGTTGTGGATAAAGCACAGGAATTATGGCTATTGATGTGCAGAAAGGCTGTGTCCCTGTGTCCTTGCAATAAAGCTTAGGGCCTTGAGAAACAAAGAGCTCCAGAGTAGGAGGAGGCCAGTAATTACTGTGCTGCCTTTAAACAAATAGTGCCAAAGCTGTCTGGCCTCAGTCTAGCCTGGGTTGTTATAATTTCTTCCAGCTATTGCTAATAACTCTGATTGAAGAAAAGTGTCTTCCCCTTCCGTGCGTGTCTGTGGAATGTGGGATGCCAACATGACTCAACCTCAGCCTGACATTGCCACTTTGCGTCGTGATAGTAGAGGTTTGGATGCCTCCAGATCTCAGTCTTTCGTGGAGGTCGAGTTCCCGTCCCCGCAGGAGGCTCTGTGGGACGATGTCCTGCCAAGCCCTGCCCGTGGAAACCGGCTGTCCCCAGAGCTGTTGGAGCATCGTTTCCTTGAGTGGTGTGGCAATGCTTCCTAATAACATTCCCTTGATTTTCTTGAAAAAACCCTGGAACTCTGAAAATTCTCCAATGGTGAAGTTGAATCACTTGCTCCAAGCAGACTGTGTTGCAAAGCAAGGTGGTTGAGCGGGACGTTGGGAGCAGATGTCAGCAGGTCTGTGGACGGACACTGGGAGCAGATGTCAGCAGGTCTGTGGATGGACACTGGGAGCAGATGTCAGCAGGTCTGTGGACGGACACTGGGAGCAGATGTCAGCAGATCCGCGGACGTGCTCGACAAGAAATGTGCGGAGAGCTGCGGGAGGGCAGGCGAGCAGGGAGAGATGTGGTGGATGGTGCTGGCAGCGGGGTGTAGCGGGAGAGCACAGCAATAGAGGGGACTGGAAGTTGCAGAAAACAGGAAGGGACAGGCAGCGGCAGGGTGTAGCGAGACGGCTGTGCGTGGGGCTGTGCCTTTAGTTGTCACGGACAGGAGTGGGACAGGCAGGAGCAACCAGGAGGCCTGGAAGGGTGGTAGTTCAACTCGACTTTCCAGCCCTGCTAGGAGGAGGTGATGCGATACCCCCGTCTCCTTCGAAACCAAGCTGGGACGATGAAACCAGCAACCATTGGTGACGGCTCACCCTCCGCTCCTTCCTGAAAAGGCTCCATTCTGTTACTGGAACCTTACAAATTCTCGCTCACCGCTGTGTCTTTTTTCCCAGTGTATGCTGCACCCTTCCATTTCAGGACTTGTGACAGACCCAGAGCAGCAGCTGCCACCGCAACGAAATCGCAAGATGGTGGAAGAGGGATGGCTGTAAAATGGCGGCTGGGAGCCTGGCTGCGCGCCCTGCGCCGGAGGGATTTCTGGAGCAGGTTCCCGCGGCGCTCGGCTGCTGCCCTCTGCCCGCTCCCTGGGAGACG